TGGTAACGACACGCTGTATATATGTATAAGAGATCCAACGACTCATAATAATTGACTCATCACGATATTTCTGGAACCATAAGGCATAGGGACTTGAAATTTTATTGGAATATTCCTCTCGACGAGTAGAGGTCAGCTAAGAACGGATTTTACGAAATTCCACATCCAACGACGAAATATCAAATTCCAACAACGTTTCCCGGATCAGCTAGTATTTAACAATCGTAATAGAATTAGTATCGACGTTTACAGTCTATACTTATATAGTTACAGTGATTACTCGTTATATATATAAAAAAGATTATATGAAATAATAGTATAAGTTGAATTATTATTCCAACAAGACTAAAATAACACCATATTAAATAATATAAATATTCCCGTATTAAAAGTTTTAAAGCTCATTTGCATAAAATGTTCCAAGATTAATTAGAATAACAAGATAGTTCCATCACAAATAAAACCGTAGCCTAGACAATTCAAGTTGAAAACACAAAAAGTTGAAAACGAACAACGCGTCTTTAGCTGAGCACCCTTTTTATCACCTCACTAAACGATCCGATAAAAGAGTTACTCGCACTGAAAATGAAAGACTAATAAAACCAGCAAGTGATCCGGGAATCTTAAAGTGAGCTAAATGAACTGCCACGACTATCCAGTCGTCTTTTAAATCAGATTTCGAGTTAAGAACTACGTTTCGCGATCGTATCTGATGTCGAACTTGATTATTGACCGAGTTTCAGAACTGACGTTACTCGGTTAAAGTGTTTGTAGGTTATATTTAGATGAAGAGGTTTGGAAAGTTGCGTCATTTAGTTTTTAACTAAATGAACGATAAAAAATTGTGAAATTTTCAATTGCGATCCAGTTCCGTTGCTATCCCATAACGATTTTCTTTTGCGTCGATATTAATTCACGTGTAACTTTTGAACTCTACGCATTTCAAATTTCGTCTCAGAGGTGTAGAAGTGTAATTAAAATTTTTATAGTGCTTATCCACGTCTTCTGGATAATCGACGCTTAGTGCATCTTTTTCTTAACATAATAAAAAACAATGATATAATTCAAATACGTTGACATTTCCGTTGGTTTAATCAGGGGTAACTTAGTGGTTAAAGCGTCTGAGTGCGAATCCGTAAGACGTGGCCAAGGACTACGAGTATAAAAATTTAAATTACACTTCTACACCTCTCTGAGACGAAAGTTGAAATTCGTGGAGTTCATAAGTTACACGTGAATTAATATCGAGGCATTCCGTTCATTTATCCTACAAATTTTAAGGTGTGAAATGGTTTGAAGAATCGTCATATTTTGGAGAAAACTACTTGTTAATAAAGAAAACTTCGTTTACGTCCAGCCTTTGACTAACAAATGAAGGTCAACAGCTGTTAGAGGAAATTTAATATTTATTCCAAAGACGTGCATTCAAAATTGATTTAAACTAATTAACATTGTCATTGGATATTTTAGTTAGTTCACTGTTAATAAAACGAAACATAAACAATGAATAGTATAATGAAATAGTTTTTATTCAATAGCTACATTTTAACACGGCGAAATGGAGTTCTGTAAAACTACATTTCGCTCACGAACTTGGCCGAGTTAAAATGTATTATGAAATATTTTCTTTATTATATATATTCAAAAGCATTATCTTCTTGAAAATTTTATATTATCTTTAACGTATTAATCAACATTACTTACTTTTATTTTACACTGTACCTACAAAATGCATTTTTCATAACATCCAAATGATTGTAATTTTACAATAATGAACTATTAACGGAGAGCTTCTCTTAGCTGCACTGATTTCGTGAAATCAAAGCATTAGTTTCAAATTAAACAAAAATAAATCATAAAATTCTACAAAATAATCACGTTATAAATATTATAATACATTTATTTATTTATGAGTGCGGACACTAGCACTAAAAATAATGATATTTAATGTTTTAGTTAAAAAGATTACATTTAAAAAAATCAGAGAATAACATTTTTCTACAAAACAATCACATTATAAGTGCGAAGACTAACACTAAAAATAATCATAAATAATATTTTAGTTAAAATGATTAGATATTATTTTATATTATTTTATAAAATAAGAGAACAAGCCTATACATTATATATTATTAATATAGTCAGGTATTGTAATGTACTGCTGACGTAAATCATACGTAGTTACACGTGCTGATAACACGTGGTGGGTGTCAACAATGACGCATATGTGTATTTCGATAGTTAGTAATACGTAAGTTATGTTTTAATTTTTTATAATATACTCGCATTAATATCATTTATAACATGGTTCACATGTTGAGAAAGAAAGAATATGGAAGACGGTTATAGTTGTTACATGCTATTTTTTATTCATGGCATATCTATAACAAGCTCGCACCTCTTCTACATTGCATGGATCTTAGATTTTGTTTCCTAAACACATTCCATAATGTCATCATTCTCTCCATCCCTCACCTGGGTAGGGTCGGCATAACTTGTGAATCATGTTAACAACGTTCTACTATTCGCAAAATTTATTTTCCGCCGACCGGCGGCATAAGGTCAACCCTCCTTGGGAACAAACACCCAGATCCAGAACTATTATCTGTGGGTCAAACAAATACTTGTCCCGTGTGGACATCGAAACTGCAATCCTCGGCAAAATAGTTGAACAACTACGCCCCCGATTAACAAAATAAGTTATAAATGTTATTCTATTTTCGACCGCTAAAAGAATGTCTTTAAAATAGTCGCTCTTCTTTGGACTCAATTACATTGACTTGTTAGACCGACTCCAACCGTTCAATGTACAGACCTGGATTTGTTCAACACGGGAACTTTTACAGCAGCCAATGTGATAAGTAAAAAAAATCAGAAGAAAATTGAATGCTTCCTACTACAACATAGTTTAAAGTCAAAGTCAAAATTTCTTTATTCAATATATGCGTAATTAGAACGCAAAGCTCATAAAGAACGTAAAAAAAAACTAGCTTAACGTAAGAAGAACCAGCGAAATCTTATTATCTCTTTTTTTGAATGATACAAGTATACAAAATTATTTACGTATAAAATCAGCAGCAGCCAGAGGACTTACAAGTGCAAATCAAGAGTAATTTTCACACATTCTTGTCTTCGATTTATTCTTCAAGATTGTAATAGACCCTTGTTAGTAAAGCTTTTATAAAATGTTTGACATTTTTTACACTTAGTTGTTACACATAATACTTAGTGTAGAGTACCTAATTCTTTTTCCCGTACATGTTTATGCATTTAATCGATAGTTGTATCATAGTTAGCATTATTAAAAGCAGAATATATATAATAATATAGTAGTAACTTAAATAATTGTTGCCTTTTCCTTGTTTCGTGTTGTTTTGGTAAACCCCCATCCGTGTATTCTTACTTAGTGAAGATGGAATTAACACAGCCGACGACCTCACTACCCGTCCCTTCGTTTATTGAATTTTATTGAATTCAATAAACGAAGGAATTATTGAATCTTAATCATAAACCGCCTCCGGGTAATTTGTAGAGCAGACGGCGACATAGATTGACAGATTTACATTGAAACGCTTATTTTGGCGAAAATCCGTATACGAATAAAAAAAAATACTTTCAATAAATAAATAAGTGTCATAGTTACGGAATAATTTGTAGAAAAGGGAAAAGTAGATTCAAGAAAACTTTGAACACTATAATATAAACAATATATACAATGTTCAAACAAGGCTAGAACATTTTATATGTAATACAATGTTATCGGTAATAAATTCTCAGGTGGGATAACATTGATCATCTATTTCTTTTCACCTGATGTTAAGTGATAACCGCCTCCCATGGACATTTGCAACACTGAAAGGTTGCAGATGCGTTGCCACCTTTTAATAAAGTGGGCCCCGGCTACCTCACTCACCAGACATGCGACACTTCACGCTGATCTTCTGTGAGGTCGTGGTACTTACCTGAACGGACCTGCCCAGTCGTGCAACAGCGAAAACTGTTGCGAAGCGCTACCACTCTCAATTAACATGTATAATTTAAATAATTTTACATAAAAATTTACTGTCGGATAGTTGCTAAATGAGAATTTAGTTTAAATATCAGCCAAAAGGAAAACTTAATAAATGATGGCTGATTTAGAAGTATTTCTCGACAACTCTTCGCCAAAACTGACATTTCCCAAATTGGTAGGATGTAACGATGCAGATTCAACACCATGGGGATTTGCGTATTTTTACATCATAACTTTAAATGTTATCTCTATACATTTTACTTCCGTTGCCACTCAAATTTTCTTCTAGTTCTAACCTTTTGTGTTCTTACGACAGTTATTACTTTTTAGGAGTTGCCTGTGGAGCTGTAGATCTTATACCTACCCGTGGAGGCTCATTCGATATTATCAATTGTCTCTGCATCGTATTGAAGCTTTTACCGATTACAAGGTCTATCTCTGTATGTAGAGCAGATCTCTGTCTGATATTGACTGCCTTTTTAAAAATTCACCAAAACTGATTTGAAAGAGATTGAACTGCGCAAGTGCCCTGAACCCAGCTTTTATTTATTGATGAAATTGTTAAGTGCATCTACAAATAACAAAATATATGTATTTTATTTTTATTAAAAACTTTGACGTAAGTACCGACGTATCGCAACACACTTAAACTTCTATACTTCGCCATACGAAGAACGTTTCAAATTAATCCTGCGAGTGCATTTTGTCTTTTATCGTTAATTATTGTCCATAAAGGTCTACTGGATGGGTATTTAAGTAGCCAATTACATTTCCATTCAATTTGGCGAAACAAACGTTACTTACGTTGCTACCATCTGCACGGGCCACATTGCGCCGGCGCACACGTTGGCCGCGGAAGGCGACGCGTGTAAGCTCCGGCGCATTATACGAGTAGACAAGTGTGAACCGCCCGGCCGCATGTCGCGTTGCATTGCATTCGAGCGCGGGCAGAGGTACGAGCTTACGGTCGCACGGTTAGGCGAGCCTAATGAGAAAGTTTATCGAGCGCTTATTGCGTAGTTCAGCGGGAAGCTTCGCGACGCCCGAGCCGCTCCCGCCGCAGGTGTGCCGCGCCCCCCGCCCCTCCGTTGTCCCCTCCCCCCGCCGGCACCGCGCTGCTCCACCACGCAGCTTTCCTCCGTACGCGCCCGCCAGTCGACTGTCAACTACGCAGGCGGATGGTTGCCTCGTACGCGCGAAGTAAAGCTTGGCGCGCCAACAGTAAACACGACGCACTAACCATACAGTGCCTCCGCTCGCGTTACAAACCGATATCGAAGTTTAGTTATTTGTGTTGTGTTGTGCCAAAGTGATAAGTGTATGTGTGTAAAACAACTAGCGGCCCTCGTTGAAAACTTCCTATGTACATGTAATTAAATGCCAACCGGTGTCACGTATATACCGGTGCGGTGTCGGCGGCGCTGATCTGATCGCGCTAAGGAATTGTGAGCATCGTCGTATTGTGCGGAACGGGTTCCGTCTCATCGGCGAGGTCTCTGAAGCCGAAACTCCGTGCGATTGCCGGCCGGCGTACCACACGCCTATCGCATTCGGGCCTTATCAAATAAGCAGTTCCGCTGCGTAAATGGAGACGGAGACGGGGTCGAGAGCGCGGGTGTCGCATTACCATTTTGAAGGAATGTCAACAACCTATTAAGCATTCATTTGGTCGGTACACGGCTAATCTGTGTACTGAATCTAAGCGGGCGAGTGTCTCTCGGCCGTTTCGCAGTTATTCGCAAACAAACCGAGCGGGCTCTGCACGTTAAATAAATCTTACCTCGCACAACTGCATAGTTAATAGTTGAGTGTACGAAGCCATTTACGCGAGATTTATTTCTATTCAAGTTATTGCAAACGGATCTTTCGTAGTTTTGATTAAGTTATGCAACAGACACTAAGCGAGTCATCAACGGCAATCCTTAAAATAGAAAACACGACTTTATGGTGCTCCGCTTTAGAATGTAAAAAACAGTCGAAAAAGGAATCATTGCCATGACTGTGTTATAAGGGGTTACTTTTTGGCTCCATAAACTATAAGGATTAAAATACATCATTACTTTTTTTGGTTTATTGGTACTAATTATTATATCATTCTTTTGGAGTTCTCACATCAACTGTTCCGAAACACAAGAATAGAAATCTAAAATAAATTAAACATTTGTAAACAAATAAGAACCCACTTATTTTATAATACTTTAATTTACATACATACCTCGGCACACATGATGTACTTACGTGATTAACGATGCCGATAAAAGCTTAAATAGATAAAACTGATGGTTTAAAACTATCGCACACAGTCTTCTATTACACGTGTCAATGAAGCCTAATCTCACTAGACTATCTACTACTTAATAGTCGCCCTTTTTATTTGCCTAGCAAAGCCAAAATAATTGGATTATTTTGATATTCTATAATTTAAATAAAACCTAAATGTCAAATAAAATTGAAAAAGTTGATAATTATAAAGCAATTGAGAAAATTATCACAAAAAAGTACTTTAACTAAGTAGTAACAGTTATTACGGAAACTCTTTATTATTTAGTAACTGTTATCAGCAATTTTTTGTATAGCAAATATTTGAAGAAATTTCTGCTATCACACTGCGTCAGCATGATTAGATGTGGGCGATAAGACACTTTGTTTTCTCGCCACCACTTTCAAAGATAAATATCCAAATGTTTGGTGGGCATTGTATAACCGTTCCAAATGCTGGTGATTAATTAAAGCGCGATAATTACATCACTACAATCCAATACAGCGATATACGTAGTTGCTTAATGTAGTACGAGTTCGGCGGGCGAAGTGAAAGGCCCACTTTCTCCAGCCCTCCGAGCCTCCACAACGATAGTTCTATTGCAAATAATTTAACATCGCCCCACAGCCGATAGTAAGATATCAATTACGCAGATAATTGGATTTACTAAGAGTCTCCTTAAGTTTTATGAGCGGCCTTTGCCAGTACAATTTCAATAAATCGTAACCTTTCACAATGTATTGAAATTTATAACGGTTGTTCTCAAAATGAACGATGAGCTTCAATTGTTTATTTCTATTTGGCCTTAGATGACAATATAATTAAAAATTATTTCAAACAAACATAAAGCATATCCAATTGAGTTCACGTCACATTTGACAAAAAAAATATTTTTATCGTCAAATATATCGTGTCCTTTCGATGTTGCTGCAACTTATACGGAACTAGTGCATAAGTGTATGGCTATCTTAGTCATAACGTTTGTCTTGAGTTAGTGAGATAGCAGGTCCGTTAGTCGTCTAGCATAATTTTCTTGTTACTCCTTTCTGCTACATGTGAATATCACATTTCGACACCGATCTATTCGTTAACAAAAGCTTGTCAATCACGCTAGTTATCCATTGTTACTGCGAACTTTCCGTTGGTTTTATTACCGGGACACGATCGGTCTGATGTTTCGCACGGTACGTGAACTTAAGCTAGCTTACATTCGTGCCCGCACCTTAGTGGCGTTGACGCAAGCTTCGGTTATGTAAACATTTCGAGACTTGCAAAACGGTGCGGCGTGCTTTCGTCAAAGCCTGTAAGTCATATCGATGACAATGTTTATCAACGTATTTATGACTGCTTAATAGGAGAAATGTGATTGATAATAAGAATGTTTCTTGTTTTTATAATAATGCTATCCTAAAATTCAACCTTAACTAAAAAAAAATTAAAGTTTGCTAATAATTTAACATTAAATGTATGAACATTATTTATCTGACCATTACTACGTAAAGGGAATGTTATTTTCTTTTAAAACTACAGCTTTATTCAAATATGTCATTGTTATTTATTACGAAAGAATATCTATTAACAATGCAGCTATGTAGATTTCAATTATATCACATTAAAGAATAAAGCGACATGCAAAATGAAAATATCAAGTGAAGCTATCGCACTGTCGACGATATGATAATCGGTACCGATAATATAAATCCCTGATAACAGGACTCTCTTAGATTTGATTTTAAAATTTCTTTACATCTTTACCTAAATATTTATTTCATAAGTTATTTTTTGTTCATTACGTATTGGAGAAATATATCGAAGATAATAGTGAGAAAAAAACATTAAAATTACGTCAGCTGCCAATCCACTGTGGAACTAGCAAACTAAAATTAATACCGAGCAAACATTGAAGTCTTTCTTACCTTACATTAGAACTTAGTAAGAACGTAGTAGTTCGCGTACTACTTTGTAGGTTCGATGATAATTTTTGTTGTGCAATCATTATCGATTTCTACCGGGTAGTGGTTAGTAAATACTCAAATCATAACATGATTATCTGAATCCGTTCGATGCTAGTCTGGGCCGTAGCCTGAACAAATTGGGTACCCGCCAATGAGCCTGGCCAATCGCATTGAAGCGAGGTGCCCTTTAATAAATTGATACACACAACTTAATTTTTTTCTTTTAATTGAAGGTTGACATTAGTAATGCAAATACGATTTAGTCCTTTTATGTCGAATTGAAAGTTATAGTGGAGCAGGATATGCTAACTTCGTTTGCCTAAATGATCCAGAATAGTGACATTTGTCCTGAACTAGCGCTGCGAACGAAACGCTGAAAATCACTTTAATTTTTTTAATTTCTCGCCTCGATTTTTTTGATTAAGCTCTATGGCATACTAATATTGATTATTGTATTCCTTCAATTTTGAACCAAATCGCATGGTCGTTTTACTGGATGTACGCCAGAAGTGATTGCCAAATGTTTCTAGATATTTGCTATTATATTGATCATTTCTCTACTAGTTAACTGTATTAAATCGTATGCGTTATAACTATTCTTAACCCGTTTAATGACAAAATGTTACTTCAAAAACAGTGTTAGTTTATTTAGTATTTGCATACACAGAATCATGTCCGAACAATAACATAATATAGTGTTAATCTATGTACGAAGGTTACCGCATACGTTTTTTGCCGTGCTTTAAACTGTTTACAATAATGTAGTTTACATCTATGTATAGAAAACGAGTAAAAGATGTTACTACTCGTCATGAACGTGAATTTCGAGGCCCAAAGATGGCAAATTTAATCATCATTTATTGCACTCTAACGTCCCTTAATTTATATAATTAACTGAGGATCTGATTAATTAGGGGCCGATATTTATGTTACGCCTGTTGAATACTGATGCCCGTTTAAAAAACTTGAATTAGCCTCGGTTGTGAGTCAAGTTGTGGGGCAGGTAGTGGCGGGGTAGGGAGGTGGCGGGGCGGGGCGGGGAAGGCCTTCCGTCCACACCAGCTGTCATAGCAGCTGCCTTACCGTGCACGTGCTTCTACACCTATTATTAATGCCCTTTTTTTAATTTCGGGAAGTGTTACCGAAGATTCTCGAGGAGCATTTTTTTTGTCAACAATTGTTAGGCCCAACTGTGCAGCCCAACGGATTTTGAGTATATAATTCCTTACATGCCAATTAATAACTGTAGAAATCCGAACATACGCCGGGCTATTTACGCTTTTATCGAGCGTTAGTTTGCTGCGAAACGAGTCCAACACTTCAAAGTGTACGGCGAAAACTTTTCATCGTCCAACGCAAATACGTTTCGGGCGGCGAAAATGTTTTCGAATTATGAATGATTAGACGCGGTGGTGAGTGGAATAACAGTCTCGATGCGCGATCGGGCATGAGTTTCCACTGGCACACACACGTGACACTTGTTTATGTGCCAATTCAAGGCCGCTTGCATATTGCGACGCCGTTCAGTCCACACCTACATCGCGGGCGAGAGACCAATGAAAAAACTATCGAACTACTTTCGGTGCCGCATGTTTATCTATCGTCAATTATTTTATAGCTTCATTGCCAATATTACACGTTTCGCATAACTACACTATTAATCATCAATCAAACCAGATTCAAAGTGAATCGGCTAATGCAACGCCAAAGCTGCGAACGCAACGCAGTAATCAAAACATTTCCTCCGCGGATTAACATGATCGATGCCTCAGATTACATTCCCCTTTTCGTAACTACCAAGACCGTCGCAAATCGTCCGAACATGTTCGCGTCATAATACTCATCGCCATTGCGATTCGAAATAACCATTCGGCCGATATAGAGAACAGCGGGACGATTTATTTGAACGCCAAGGACTTGTGTAACAAGGATGCGTCACTAACGCAAACCGACCGGAGCGTTTGAATACCGATTGTTTTAATTTAACGTTTGAATAAGCTCGGATACGCGACCGCCAACCGCCAAACGGAATTAGGCAACGAGCTAGGAGCGCATCGTTCGCGTGAAATTGTATTCGCGACGGCAATGCACCTTTTTGACCTGGTAAGCCCGCAATGCAGCGCCGTTCTGACACCACACCGATGTACATACACACTTGGGATATTATGCCTATAATACAGCAAACCCGCACAAACACGCCTTCGATGGTAATGTTAGGATTTCGAGCTTAGTGGTAGCGTTCGATCACTTTGTTGCAGCCAGTGTGACAGAGTGACGTATCGGATTGCGCAACCGAAACAGGGATTCGGTTCACTTTGTGACATTTCAATGATGCGAAAGGTCACATCGAGTGTAATATGCTAAATAACTGCTACCGATATTATACGGGCATTCGAATTACAAAACGCGCGGGAAGGGTTCACGGCTGATTTTTCTTTATTTGTACAAGTGTCTTATGTTTAGGTTGATCCAGAATAGAGAAATTTTATTCCATTCTCCATTCATTCGCATACGGACGCGCGGCGCGCGAGCGGTTCCGAATTCGCTCCCCGTTTGGTTCAGTTGACGTGTTGCTTTCAATCGAGTGGATACGAGTGTCGTGTAAGCGAGAAAAAGAAGTGATTTAACACGAGTGGTGCGGAATACCAGACGTCGCTGAACACTGCTGTGATATATACTGTGATGTGCGAGCAATTCTACGGATATTTTTATATGTGATTTACCCAGTGCCCAGTACAGACCGAGTACGAAAAAAAACGGACATAGAGTTTATATTTACACGGGCATAATGAAGGAGGAGTGCAAGTTGTGTAGCGTGGGCGGCTGGGTCGGCCCCGTGCAGGGAAGCACGGACTTTTCGATCAGCTCCCTGATGCGGCCGACCGCCCACCATCCGGGCCAAGTGGACCCGAGGCACGACGCGGTGCTGCTCTCCGCGTACCTGTTCAAACTAGGTGACTATCCATTGTATACGCTACACGAACCCCACGTAGGTGAGTATCGGAAGCGCAGCGAAAACGCAATAGCATCCCAAGCCTAACAGAACCCAGTTCGACTTGTATGGTGTTAATAATATTTAATAGGTTTAGATGATTAACGGTGTTTGTTTGTGTCATGGGTGGTTTGTCAAGGGTGCCATGTGATATGTTGTGTGCCGAATGTAATTATATTTTTATGAGACATCGTGCGTCCTCCAGTGCTTTTAAATTAGTTACCATGAGATCTTTCGAATCATTTTTTAATGTGAGATTGTGGCAAGGTTTGTGTTAAATGATAACTGCCGCCCATGTACACTTGCAAACACCCTAAGGGTTGCAGATGCGTTGCCACCTTTGTATAAAGTAGGCTCAATCACCTCACTCTCCAGTTCACTAACATTTCCACTTCACAACGGTCTTCAGTGAGGCCTACTCCAGAGGAGAATGTCTATTTGTGCAATAGAAAAGACTACTGCGAGACCCTAGCACCGTAAATGAAGCAAACTACCAGTTAAACAATCTGTGTGAAAACAAATTTATAGAAATGTTTATTTTTTCATATTGTTTCATTTAGTTAAATAAAACTATTTTATGTATCTGTCCCTGTGTCATTGTCTGATTGTCCCGTGGCCTTGAACGTTGTAGTGTTCGAAATTAATTAAAATTTATAATCAAAATAAAACGCTGTAAAATCCGTAAAACACTTTCATTTAACCGTGTATTCGCGTAATTATTTACAAGAAATCATTCTTTCGCTCAATTGAGTATTATAATAAGTTTGAACAGCCTCCTTAAGCACACGAACATTAGTCATTCAATTCCCTCCAACTGCCTCTCATTACCGCACTGAGCAGCAAGTAGATCGAGGATCGCATCGTCAATGTTTTTGGTCTGGTTTTTCCGCGAGGTATCGATTGTGTCGCCATGTGCCGAAAACCGCGAAATTTCCGACCATTACGATAGTCGTGTTTAACAATACCAGCGGGAATGGCTTGTCCACGCTATCATTGTTATAATGTTTACACAGTTTAAACTATTCACCTCAACATTATTCATAACTAGATGCTCCATGCATGCGATTTCATTCTTGAGAAACATCTTCGCCCTCTGACGTTAAATATCCTTTAACCTTCCTCATGAATACGGCTATCATATTATTTATATTTATATACATATTTTATTGATATTTTTTCAAATGCTGTTAGTTACAGAGGTTAGTGCGTTAAAAACAAACAAACTATTCAGTTTTAGCGACGTATACATACTTGCAACCCTGATAACTCAGCGTCCATTGAGATAAAGGCGAGCGGCCTTTATTTCAATTTACTCGAGCAACCTGAGTTCGATCCGGTTCCGGCATCAATGAAATTGTTAATTTTAAGTGCTCACTTATCACGTGCTCAGCGGTGAAGGAAAACATCGGGTAGAGAACCTGTAGATTTTTGAATTAATAACAAAGGCTAATTATAGGCTGTCACTTGTACTTTACTAACCAACTCGTGGTGATACATATTTTTAATTCAAGTTAACTTTTGATAATTCAACGAATCTTTATTCTCGTAGTTTAAAATGTTTACACAGATGTTGTTTTAAAATTGTTTACTTTCTGTACAGAATCATAAGTATTCCATTGTAAATTGGTGTCAGAAAATATTTTGTTGAAATTACGCACATTAAAATCCTTATAAACTGAAGTAACCTTTTATAAGTCTATCCTGCTATAATTGCTTTTCCTTATTATTTTTAAATTAAATATCATATTATGAACAAGAAAATACCCATGCTTATGAAATACGCTTATCATTCAACGGTTTAAAGTTTTTTGTCCTTGTTAGTTTGTTTGCTTCGTATTTCGTGCCGAGATAAGGATATTAATAGAAAATGTAAAAATGTGAAACACGATAATATTCCAAATAAATCACTGCATAACTTTAACGGAGAATGCAAAATGAAATTCAATATTCAACATTCCTGTTACAGTTTCGAAAGACGCTTACCGCTTCGGCCTAGCTGATTATTCGTCTCGGCGCAGCCGTGTCGGTCTACTCGACAGTGTCAAAATTAATAGTTCGAATTGCCGCACAGTTTACAGGGAATGCAGTTCGTTGGGAATTCGTGTGGTATTCGCCGAGCGATAATTTACGCGCCGCGAGTGACCTAGAGTCTGATATCGCAAACAGACCCCGACAAACGGACAGTCGTCGTATAGCCGACCTCGGTGAGATCCGTGAGCGTTCCTTAGCCTTAGCTAAGATACCAGAGTATTAAAAGCTCCCTGTGAGCACAAAGTAATTACTAAAATGTTTTCCTATTTAATAATATTTTGCGGCTCGGTATGACGCAATAGCATATTGGCTTCGTTAGTGGTCGTGGGGTCGACTCTCGTACGAAGATATTATGATCTACATATATTTGTTCCAGATTAGGCCGTCTGCGCAAATGCAATTTGTGAATATCAAAATGTATCTGAAAGAAAAAAAGTTGTTCTAAATGTAATTACATCGCTAACGAATCGGTTAACGTTTAGGTACCTACTTTGTCGGTAAATTACTAATTTACATTGTTACGCTATCAAACTCTTAACACGATGTATAAATGCTTACATTTTTTTATGTGAAAATTTTTAAAACGAGCTGACGGTTTACCTGATGTTAAGTGAATACCGCCGCCCATGGACATCTGCTACACCCGAGGGCTACAGATGCGTTGACAACCTTTTGAAAATTGGGCTCCAGCTACCTCACTCACCAGACGAAACGCGAAAGTATTTGTCATACTTCCACTTTACGCCGGTCTTCTGTGAGGTCGTGGTACTTACCCGGACGAGCCTGCCCATTCGTGCAACAGCCGTAGCTTCTGCGTGCACATTTACGTACATTATAATTAATAAAAATATTTTCTTTTGTACTCTACACGTTTTATTGTCGCTCGTGATTTAATGATGTAATTGTGTAGCGTTTTTATGAATTCCAACTCTTATCACAAACTTATGGACATATCACACGGTCTGGTATTTTGCGAATATTTTTTACGCGAAGGCAGTATATAGCAACAATTATAGATTATCATTAAAATATGTACGTTTACCGTTCTTTTAAATACATCAGTAGGGTTTTTGGAAATAATAAAATTAATACCACGGGAACCTCATTTCCGAACGAGTAGCAGAATATTACGTAACAAGCTTCAAATGGCCCGATACAATCGCGCTCGCGTTTGTCTTCTTATGCGCTGCATAATTTCCAATTAGAATTATGTAACTAAGGGCTGCCTGTACTCAGATATGTTAAAGCGCAATTATTGCTCATAAATTGGCAAACCTCACAACATAAATGAAGAAGAAATACATTTTATAAGTCAATATTATTTCCCCTACAAATCGAATTAGCAAGTCGAGAAGAGAAGAGCTGATAAATAGCATGAATAATAAAATCTGAACTATGTGTAAAATTACAATTTTAGTCATAGTACGCCACGTAAGCCAGGAAATATCGTAGTAGCAAATTCACATGGAGCTTCGTTATTGCATCAGTATCCTGTGGGCACAAAGAGTCGCTTGTGCGGGCTGTGTCGGACCGCTTTTGTTACAGCGGAGTTATATTGAGATGTGTTTGTTCGGCGGTGACGTCACGGGACACCCCACCGACTCAGGACATCTCGCTAACGTCCCACTAACAGGAAAAGGAAGTGGGTGTTTTATTGATCAACAAAGAGGCACGGCAGCCGACAGCTTTCGGCTGCTGTCGGACTTCGATAACTAACTTAACTGATTTCATGCTGAACTCTACCATTCTATGTCCTGCGTAAGTCGTTTATTTATGATAGATATTTAACATTGTCCAGTCGAGAAATATATATGTTTATGTATAAATACAAGCAATTTAGCTAAGCTATAATGCTGCCTCTTAATTTGGAAAGGCTTATTTACCAGAAACCCGCTTAATTAGCTACATTTTAGGCCAAATTCAATATCATACTTTTTGTCCAAAACGTTTTATATTCCCTTAGGTTTATTCTGAATTCCTTTTGCGAATAGACAATATTTCTTTCCGACAAATAATTCTTTCGTGGAATTACGTAAAGAGTATTGAAAAAAAAATAGGAAGCACTGTAACAACGGCAGTGAGCTTTATGCGCCATGTCGAGGCCGTCCAAGTTAAGGCCGCCTTTACATCGACGCGCCACGACTGTTTGTTTGCACATCGGCATTGAATACGTATAATTCATGATCGATACAGTTTTATTACACTGAACATTTTAAATTAATTAAAAAATCCACCCAAAATAACATTTTTATGGCACAATTTGACCTAAATGGAATAGGGTAGATTACTTTATCTAAATGTTGAAAGTAGAATACAAGAACTAAGATAGATTTCAATATAGTTAGTTTTTAACCGTCATAATGAAGCGTAAGAAGGCCAAGATCCTCGACCAAAATAACTAATTTCCATCAGTCATACGTAAACGTTTGGCTTAAAGGTCGAAACGCCGTCGCGGCATGCCATATGCACACCTAATTACAGTTTAAATGTCACGGCATTTTGGCGCGGATCCGAACGGATTGCACTTCAAGTAAGTACAAAGGATGCATATCGCTTTAGCACGAGTAACAAAAACATAAAAAAAAATCTTTGGCATAAGTAAGACGTCAAATGTGTGATAAATAATGCATCCGACGATGTGAGCTTTAAATTAAAACGAAAAAGATTCAAACAACCAAGTACCTGGAGCGTGCTAATTGGTTAGAAGAAATTTTTGAGGAAGGTCGATCACGAAAGGAACACGATTTGTAATAAGTACTAGAAATGTCATATATATATATATATGTGATATGTATATTATTTATTACATTCTGTTGCAAAATACAAAATAATATATTATTTTGTTACAATATTTACAAAATACGTTAATTGTACGGGTGAACTTTGATTAGTTTATTATTTATTTACTATTTCGTGATAAAAATTTCAAGGCACATGAAAGAAAAGGACCATTTCGCAATTTAACGTTTCATGGTATATCTAATAATAAAGAGAATATGTTAAAAAAAATTTGTAAGTTCTAAACATCAATTAAGTACCACCAATTGTCTTCGCAAAAACGTCTGTCTTATAGGTACATTTACATTTCACTTAATGTATTTCAAATAAATGTGCGGTAATTGTTGGCATATCGCATTTACCATCTTCCTAGGTATTCCGCTCATAACAAGACAGGGACGCACATGTTTCAAGTCGATAAGGTGTTTCCAATTAATCTACATAATCCTCTTACCGGGTATTACCTTATCGGGACCGATAATTACTTTCGCAGGGCTTACAGCGACCTTTTATTTATTTTCACCTTTCAAAAGTGCACTGTGTCGTAGTTTTTAGGGTTCCGTAGGTAAGGGTAAAACGGGACCCTATTACTTAAACTTCGCTGTATTTCTGTCCGTCTGTCATCAGGCTGTATCTTATGAACCGTGATAGTTAGACAGTTGAAATTTTCACAGATGATGTATTTCTGTTGCTGCTATAACAACAAATACTAAAAAAAACAGAAAAAAGTATTTAAGTGGGGCTCCTATACGACAGAAATGATTTTTTTGCCATTTTTATACTTAACGGTACGGAATCATACGTGGTATTTTATAATAATTTTCAATAATCGATACTGTTCTAAGTTTTTCGAACGACTCTTTAATCTTTATTGACTGTTCACGTTTCCTAATAAAAAGCATGGCCGACAGTATCCTAACAAGGCTTACGTACGCGGTGTACCATCATCACTACATAGTATAAAACAAACTGACTGTCCCTATGTGTGCATAGATCTCTATAACTACGCAACTTGCAATGCAATGGATCTTGATGCGGTTTTTTTACTAGATAGAGTAATTCAAGAGGAAGGTTTATATATATAATATATTGCACCCGTGCAAAGCCGTGGCGGGTGGCTAGTCAGCAAATAATACCTTGCGCCGATCCTCTTATTGAATGCGCCAGACGCTAGCACACGGGGAAGCATGCAGAGTTCAAACTTGCGTCATCATTCCAAATTATGTGGGGCGCCAAAGTAACCGCCATATAAATGTTAACACGTCAAAAATAGACGGGGAGCGCCGACGGAGCCCTAGAGTGGCGGTAATTAGTTAGCCCGTCGTAACTGAAATAACCCTTCGCAACTAAGGACGCCTCCGGCCAACCGAGGCGCTATAAAAAGTGAAGTAAAACAATAATCACTGGAGCGCGTCCTTTCCCTTCCCCTCTTCGTAAACTCACTTGGCCTTCAAAGATGGGGTGCGGTGTATTAATATAATTCTTCGGGTTTTTGTTAGTATTTACTGGGCCAGTGGGAGCTCGGTTCACAGTCAACGCCTACTTGAAGAGAGACGCCTAAACTCTAATCGCATATGCATTTTGTATATATATATATATATATATATATATATATATATATATATATATCATCGGAATCTCGGAAACGGCTCCAGCGATTTTTTGAAATTTAGTATGTGCGTAGATTCGGGGGCGAAGAATCGTTCTAGCTAGGTTTCATTTTTAGAAAATGTCCTTTTTTTTCTATACCAGATCATTGCTTTCTTTATTTTTTATTTTTTTTATTTCCAAAATACATCATCATTTCCAATCATTTACCAAATAAAACCGAGCAAAGCTCGGTCCTCCGTGTACTATATATATATATATATATATATATATATATATATATATATTAACAATATACAGCGTGTCATTACCATCGCGACAATAAATGAACACACGTCTAACGCTACTTGCCAATAATCATAAAAAAATATAAACGTTAAACAAAATCCATAATTAAAAAAAAAATATTTTTCAAACAAACTAATTAAGTAAAAAAGAAACAAACTTTGTAACATCCTATACAACTCGCGCCACAGCGTCGTATTACAAGCCTCTCCTTCTAACAGTATGTTTTGTCTCTTTTAAATTCATTCAACCCATTCATAATGATTTGTGACCTTTACAAATGAACTTTACGCTTTTATAGGTAAGGGTGTTCTAAAATTCTTTGTTTTGGAAAATTTAATAACTCTGTAAATATTGATAATACAACTTTAAAAAGTTATCCCCTATATGTGTGTTCCTTTAGTGTCGCGATGGTAACGACACACTGTATATTAACAATATATATATATATATATATATATATATATATATATATATATATATATATATATATATATTCAAAGTCAAGTCAAAGTCATATATATATATATATATATTGTTAAAGTGAAAGTTTGGGTATGAGTGTATTGTTGCCTCTTCACGCTGGAGCGCTGTGATTGCTGAACGGATTTGAACGACATCTTGAACGATGCCTAATATCTATATTATAGTTTGAAAGCAACCATGCGGATGAAACCGTGTGTCTATTGTAATCAATAGATTTAAAAGATGAGGAAGAAAGTTTTTAACGGCGTGTGTTATTCAAAATTTAGAAGAAAATCATGCATGAACTACGTAGGATTTTATGAAGTTAACAGTAATCTGCTCTGTCCACAGAAATGAGGACTTGAAAAAATTTTACTTCCTTAGATATGTAAGGCACTATAAAGAAATGTGAAAAGATTTCCTATATAATGCGCGGCCACCCCTTGATATCCGCATGTACCCTGTTCATAATATATTTAATAATAGTTCACCGTCATTTTTCTCAAGATCTTTCTATTTTTTTTTAATATAATATGATAGCTTTTTATATAACCGTAATATTTTATTTGTGTCGTAAAACGATAGAAGTGAATATTCATTAATAAAATTCAAGTATTAATTATATCATAAGTAAAAACAAATTAAAATACGTATTTTATTTTAGATTGCTGTGTTTCAATTTAACTAAGTTGCTTTTTACGGATAAAGGTTTTACCGGTGCGTTTTCAAAGATTTAGCCATATATATTTAGACAATTAAATTATGACGCAATTTTCATATTCAACATTTAGATTTGGTTGGTAATAAAAGTGATGGATACTGGTTCATCTAATATTATAATTGCACAGTACAGGCCTTATCCGAATTTTTGTCAGCCACGCTTATCGCTGGCATTGTTCTATTAACCCACTTTAATAAAAAGCGATCTGATATCATAACAATAAAGGTGTTCTAGGGCAGAAGGCTGCCCCCCTTTTATCGTAACGTGTCACTCACAAAAGACCTTTGAACGCGCTCGGGGGCCCTGAGAAAGTTTGCTCAAACTAGACCGCACCACAGCCACATCGGTCTCATTACTAAATCAATAACTGAGGTTCGGGAAAGTAACTATTACAAAACCGGCCTAAAGCGACTTGGACTCGCACACGAACGGTTCCGTACCATTATCTATAAAAACGGCAAAAAAATTATGTCTGTTGCATGGGAGCTCCGTTTAAATATTTTTTTATTCTGTTTTTAGTGTAGTTTTCTGTAGTTTAGTTATAGCGGCAACAGAAATACATCATCCGTGAAAATTTCAACCGTCTAACTATCACAGTTCATGAGATACAGGTAATAGAGGGACATAAAGACAGACAGCGGAGTTTTAGTAATAGGGTCCCGTTTTACCCTTTGGGTACGGAAACCTAAAAACTACAACTATATGCTCCGTGACTGAGTTGCCAAGGTATTGGCTTCGGCACCGAGGTTCGTGGGTTTGATTTGCACTCGGGGCAAGTATTTGCGAGGCCCACAGATAATTGTGACGGATCTACGTGTTTGTCCACGTGAAATTAATGTATGTAAACCGTCATTACAACACAGGATAATGTTATCCTATTGTAAGGGCAATGTTTTTAAAGATTTAAAACTAAAAGTAAAGTAAATGTAAACATTGTTTAGAAATTTTGTTAAATACGCTTATTATGTATGCAGTACGCTACATTTTTCATGTAAGAAGATGGCTGATGCTATGTAAGAAGTGAGCTGGCGGTTCACGTGATGTTAAGTGATAACCACCGCCAATGGAAATTTGCTCTAACCGTACGGTTAGTAGGATTGCGAATATTTTGCCACCTCTAACCAACGTGGGCCATTAAAGAGTAAGTAGGTTAATTTATATTCATTTTAGAAACTAATATGTAATAAGCTCATGTTATCGCTTACCTAAAACGTAAACGGATATCGCATATCCAATTGGTTTCTTCTTTTAGTAGTATGCGGTACGACAAATACTGATTATTGCATGACATTAAAATTAATAATTTACGTCATATCAAGACTCAGCATTAAAACTCCAACAGTAGTTTTTAAAGTGACTTCACATTTTCAAATATTTTTTTTTTATTTTATACGACTTACCTTAATTGTGGAGACTTTGTTAGTTTCACTGTAGTAATCTATTGGTCATTAATTATACTCAAAGACATTTTAAGTATAATTACCAAGCTTTAGTCTATCGTAAAGTCATAATTATCTAACAATGCAGGGTTCATCGTATCAAATATCCACCTTTCCATCGAGAAATGGCATTTGCGGCAATCAAGACATTGTATTGATTGTCTTACTACCAATTGTCTTACAGTTTGATTTATTAATAAGGTGTTTAATGGGGTCAATAGTAAAAACCTTAAAATAATAAGGCAAGAAATGTAAATGTAATAAAAATTCTATATATACAGCGTGTCTTTACCATCGCGATAATAAATGAACACAAATATAGAGGATAACTTTTTAAAATTGTATTAAACATTTACATTCTTTAAACATCAATATTTACAGAGTTATTAAATTTTCCAAAACAAAGAATTTTAGAACACCCTTACGTATAAAACTGTAACGTAAAAAGGAGAGGCTTGTAATGCGACGTTGTGGCGCGAGTTGTATAGGATGTTACAAATTTTGTTTCTTTTTTACTTAATTAGTTTGTTTGAAAAATATTTTTTTTAATTATGGATTTTTTTAACGTTCATATTTTTTTATGATTATTGGCAAGTAACGTTAGACGTGTGTTCATTTATTGTCGCGATGGTAACGACACGCTGTATATTACTTTTAAAAATGATGAATTAATGAGAACATTGATTCACCATTTTTAAAAGTAAACCTGTCGTATTGAATAATAAAAAATGCAAGATGTTCTTAAAGTTACTTTAAATGTATATTTAAAAAAAATAAGGATCGTTCATTTTCAGTTCTTTATGAAATCAACTATCAACCACTTACTTTATCAATCAGTTAACTTGCAAAAAAAATATTTAAAGCATATATACAACAAAAACAGCGCTCTTGAATTAATTTGATTCAATAGTTAAATAAAATCGCATCTGTTAGGATTTCTGCTAATTCTCTCACATGTGTCGATCGTTATTTAACGATTAAAGTGCATATTATTTTTTCGTGTCGCCACGATATCGCTTATATTGACGATTACGTTATTTTTATTGCGCAATAAACATCGCCGTGAGCGGCATTTATGCGGAGTCGCATTAACAGCGTTGCAATTAGTTTTTAACAAGCGCAATTTTTCGTTTCAGGTAAGCCAATCGCGATGTGCAGCTTGTGTGACGTCACGCCGCCTGTCTCGGCTTATGGTGAGTCCGTTTAGAAGTAACGAGATACCTACCCGGCTTTCGGTATATTTTCTATGCGCGAACCTACTTGACTACGCTACGAAACGTTTCGGCGACATAAGTGGCCGCGCAACGGGGCGTTTAGCTAAAAATATAACAACAAAAGAACGTTTGCGCGTCGCGATTATTTTTGTACGACCGCTTCTATTGTTATCGTCAATACATTTTAATTAGGACGCTATCGTATCGGTTGAATAGCATTGTGCTCATTTGTGATTAAATAACTTGTTTCATTTCATCGTTTAAAAATATAGGCTGGGAATGACAGTTTCGTTTATCTGTAAAACCCTGAACTTATGATCGCGCCAAACGGTTTTAGATAAAGATTGTATACACTAATATGTCAATGCCAGCAAAATAGTAAGAATATTTTACGTGTTTATAAATAAATATTTTTTTTTTCAGGACATATTTTTAAACAAAATTATCTAAACCCAAACTAAGCAAAACTTGTACGATGTACTTTGTAAAGACTAGGCAACATACTGAAACATACTTTTATTTTGTAAATAAATATATATTGTAGATATACAAAACACATTCGAACACACACCCTCTGGCGCAACAGACCGGTCCACTGTACAATACGCCAATTGGGTATATCGAATATATTTCAATTGAAGTTCGCTGTCGTAAATAAATGTAGCTTTACATGAAAATAAATTTTAAAATAATATTCAAAATAGTTTTTTCCTGACATTACCCCGCTCTCGCGTATTACGATCGATTTCATAATAGATTTTACATAATCAATATCAAATGCGGCACAGCTTTAATGTAAGTTCATGAGCATAATGCCATTAACCGCGTTCTCAGCGTTCGTCCAATTGAATCCGCCGCTATAATGAAATGGGTGCGGGAGTGGGTCACCGGGTCGAATCCTCGCGCCCGCATCTCGCCGTTTCCATATCACGTCCAAATAGGGAGTGAATAAAAAAAAGAAAACAAAGCAGCCAATTTCGCATTGGTAGTAAACTCGAATCAAAAGTTTTTGGCATTGTTTGTTGCGATTTTCTGTCTATTGATATTGACGCTTAGTAAAATTTACGACGTTATAATGTAAAATATCTCTTATACAATGGTTCTATAAAATTTATATAATGATTGTCCCAACCAACTATCGTTTTGTGCGTCAGTATGGTCCAATGATACCTTGAACCAGGATAGGCATTATTAATCTTAGTATGTGCGTAGATTCGGGGGCGAAAATCGATCTAGCTAGGTTTCATTTTTAGAATCAATTTTTATCCCTGTTTTCAGGGAATGAAAAATATCATTCGAATATGACGGTAAATTGCGCCACAAAAAATGTCACCATCATTTACACACTCTTTTTTTTTACTTTCTTTTCGATTCCAGATGATTTTGTTCTTTATTTTTTATTTTTTGTTGATCCAGATGATTTTGTTATTTTTTTCCCTTATTTTAAAGTTGTTTCTTTTTTGAAAAACACCACTTCATATTTTCTTATTATTAGGTCGGTAAAATCGAAAAATATTATGCATATTTCATTACTCAGTAATTAGTATCTAAATGTAATTTCCAAAATGCACGATTTACTAAAAAAACAAACCGGTCCTCCCGGTACTTTGTAATACTAATACGGAGTACAAAAAAAAAGAAACCGAGCAAAGCGGTCCTCCAGGTATTATATGACAATACAAGCAAATTAGAAACTTACTCTAACCCTAGTGGGGGTACGTGTTGAATTGCGATGAATTCAATTTTCCCAAATCTTTACGTAACTATTCCGTTGCGGTGCAAATCAGGGTTAGTTAAACATATAGCAACCATAAAGTGTATGGCACGTAAAACACGTCTCACAATCTGTTAAAACAGTTCTTGTATATATCTAAATGACGTTGGCCTCAACAGTTACCCTTACCTTTGATCTTTGTGTTTGGTGCTGTGCTTTCAACAATTTGCTACGTGCGTGCTATGTAAATATGTTCACCCACACAATTTTTGATACTAAAATTAAAATTTCCAAATATGCTGGAATATGAATTTATAACGTCTAAGATATCTAAAAACACTTTTAATAGGTAAAAATTTACATTACATTTCAAAACAATCACATCATACATAATTCAAAACAAAACATAATTAGAACTTCCGCTTCGATAAGATCGCCACTGCAACCCAAAAGCTTCGCATCTTAAAAATGTAAGGGTTTTAAAACGGTTTTCATTTCACATTAAAAAGTCTGCATAGAAAATAAATCGGCTCTTTACGTAGAAACGTCAAAATATTTAGAGGCAAGTAAAACCTTTACAATTGGTGTAAAAGGGTAAGTTAGAAAACATCAACTGTTGAACCATCAAATGATGAACATTTTGTATACGAAATTTATTTAATAATTTGGATTGCAGATTTATATTTTACTTATTAAAAAGTATATTTAGGACGTAAACTCTAGTCTAGACCGTAACATAAAAAAATAGAATTGTCCACTTACAAAAAGTCATGCAATCCGTTTTCATTAATTATTATTAAATAAGGAAAATTAATCGTTTTATAATTTTATCGAAAGATCACACCGATCCATTTTCTGATTTGGATATATTTAAAGACCTTCGAAAGGCATGCACGCGTTTTGCTGTACATCTGTAGCGTTTACTTATCGGTGTCGGTGCTCATCGGCTTGGCGCCCAATAATTCCGTCTGCTAATTGCTTCGCCGCGAATCTCGGCTGCTATTAAATTTCAGACCATCAGTTGAGAACTTATTCGCGTGTCGAGAGCCTGACAGTGCACGCAGAAACTCTGTACCGTTAGCTTTCACTAATCGCAGTTGCCTCAGGGCTTTGGAGGCATTAAAACGTTTCCCGACGTGTATTAATTGTAATTTTGTTCGTTCTTATTTCTTTGTACAATATCTATAACCGTGCGTGGATAGTTTCAGTTTATATTTAATTAATATTATACACCGTTTCTCATTTCCGAGATTTGTCAAGCTATCCCAATTTTTGGGTCACTAAAAATCATCTCCTAGCTAGTCTAATCGCAAGCCAAATACATTCGGAAAAAATCGAATGCGTTCCATTAACTTAACCAGTCCGCTTTTACCCGTCAACCATTCCAGACTATAACACAAAACAACAAGCAGTGCGCGTCGTTCACGAAAATTCCCACGGGAACGCGGAATGAGTCCGGGCTGCTCGATAGAGCAGAGATCCAGAGACAAAGGCTAGTGTTGCGCCGTCCCGTCAAATAATTAATAAGCGATATTGTCGCCGCCCGCATACCGCCCATAAATAACGCTAACGAAGCTCGGGCCGACAGATCGTCTCGCGTCTTTCGAGTACAAATACGCCAGTCGTAATCGTACTGAAAGACGAAGGCTAATTTTAAACTTACGTAATGCAACGTTCGGTTTATATGGTTCGCATATCGATTTGAAATCCTATTATATTATTAAAGCAGAATTGTAATTAATATTATTTAATCTTTGTGCTCTTGCTTTGAGGCATATTTTACACCCAAATTTCTTAAATATTTTATGAAAGAGTATAAAATAAAATGTATGCGTGATTATTGTATTTAAATGTAACTGTATACAACAAACAGCTTTACCCGAAAAAGGTAAAGTGCTGTTAGATTACAAGTTCATTGAATCAAAAGCTTCCTCTGCACCGATGGAATCCATTATCTAAATGAACCCCACGTGGGAATATACTCGATTGATTGTGGACACAATTAGCGATAGGAAGCTTATGCAGCATTAGCGCAAACATGTTTATGTACAGCAATGAACTGTTTTGTAAAGCCTAACATTTACACAACGTTATACAGATTTAGTAGAACTTTTTTTTGTTCTTTCTCACCTCATTTACACAGACTGGTCACTTATATACCACGGTTCATCATCATTGTGTTGACGTAAGTTAAAATACTATAACATTTAAAATTTAATGTCTTACAAGCTGCGTATAAAAGGAAGAAAAGGCTACAGTTATTTTCAAATTCATTTTCTATGATCAATACTTTTGATATTATAATTCCTTTTAACATTCAAACGTTTTTGGGCATTGTGAATATAGTTGTTATTTTGTGGGCTACAGTAAAAAAGTTTTCGTACATCGGCATTTTTATGGAAGACTATGAATATGTTTTGTGGCCGTATTAACTCAGAGTAGGCGTTGCATCGATTCTTAGTGATTACTGTCGCGGTTTGACATCCAGAACATCTATGAATTTGCGATTTCGCATAACCTATAAGGGGACGACTTTCTCGTTGTCTGGATCACCAGATACATAATTAGTACCGATTAGACTCCGAAAATTGATAAAACTTTCATCGTTTCGTCCAAATGGAACTTGACACTGCTTCGAATGCGATCTGTCCGGTGTTTCGGATTTACTTTACAATGTAAACCTCGAACGACCAACATCGACATGTTTTTAAGACACCTACGTGCCTTAAAAACATTTCGAATTTGAACCCCATGTCAGTGCTTAACCATATTAGTCAACTAAGCTTCTTTGGATATATAATGCGATGCATGAGTTGGAGAAGCAGTTCGTGGGACAGATGCAGGAGAAGCGCTCCAAGGTTGAAATCTAATACGATGGCGTAAAAGTATTATAAAGGCAACAGGAACTACATTGATCTATTGAAAAAAAATTAAATATAATTAAAAATAAAAAAAACATTGATAAAAATTATCTCGATCCTCATCCACTAGGGAACGACAAAGATGTTTATCCTTTAACTGATGTTAACGCTTTCATTCCTTAGATTATTCGATGAAGCTGCATCGAACGCAGAGCCCGTGGGCTAGCCAGAACCCACGGGTTTGATAACAAAGAAGGAGTTTTTGACCGCTAGTAGGTGGTGATGTAGCCATACATGTTAAAGGCACTTTGTCAATAAAAGTCAATTTAAACTTAGCTTCGCCGAAAACAAAGCGGTTATATTATACATAACGAAGGGCAATTATCGACTGTTACAGTTATCCATATCACTATCTATTAGCGTAACGAACGATGAAGCAAACCTATTTTTCTTATCGAAACCGGAGGATAAAACATTCCCGTGGAAATAGATCTATCGTATTAACACGTAAAACGTTTCATAAAAGCGATCCGTACCTAAATATAGAACCTTACTTTTTCATCTGTTTCAATATTCGGCGTTCCCACAACAGAACAACACAATTTGACGGTAATAGCATACCAGCCGTATCACCACATCTAGGGACATCGCGGAAGGCACGATCCGCTCTGCGCGGAAGTGTTACCCGACTCGTTAAACAAGCCGTGTTGGCAATGAGGAAAACTGAAACCTTTGCATAACAAATAACCTAAAATCGTATGGTTTGCGTTTATTTTTTAATGTCTCAGCACGCAACACTATCGTTTATTCTATTGTTTTAAAACCGATCTTTTCGCGCACGACAATGTTAGCTGTACTAATCACACAGTAACAAATTAAACAGTGAATTAAAATCGAATGAGAATATGTATCTATATATCATTCCAATCTCAGCTTACATGTTAATTTTTCATCTAATTATCAGTATTTTTCCTCTATATATACAACAAAGTTCAAGTAATCTAATGAATAGGTTTGTCTGAGACCAAAAAAATAAGGCCCCTACTTTAGATCTGTCTGCTGAATACTTGGATTACATATACATAACCTTGTATTAAATATGCAAATGGCCGACGACCGCAAGGTCAAACACTTCCGAATTTTGTGAGCTTCCTCGCTCTCCGCAGAGAAGTTTAAGACAAACCGCAAATTATTGACTTTTAGTTGCGTGTATAGTTAATCCCTGTAACATTATACCCACGCGTTTTTTTTATACCACAAAGCAAAAATTACCTTATTCAATTTAGGCTTGTGAGCAGCTCTTTTGAACAATAAAACTACTAACGGTTCACGAAACGAACAGGTTTCGTAAACCAGAGAAAAACAAAAATAAACCATTAGGATTTAATTAAATAATGTCGCGTACAAAGAGCTGTAAGTGGCAATGGAATCTATATTAGCATGAATACATTTCATATTCAAGTAGACAGGATACATCTCTCGCAGATACATATATCATACTTACATCATTGCAAAAACCAAGGCAAAAATATGACAATTTGGACTAGGAAATAATCATGCCACCGCTCGTCGCCCGACAAGGTTTTAGCCGTGTGTATAAACGACGCGGACGCTTCCTTATATTTCGGCGAGCAGTGATCTCAGCTTTTTATCTTCCAGTCGCGCTATCAATATCCGAGCGGGCGATATAATGTAAATACGGCACGCATTATGCAAAACGCGCTAATTTCCGCGAAGGCCGCGGTGGGGACCTCGCGAAAATCAGCCCCGGCCTCGCACTTATCGCTGGCGCGATATCGTGGTGTGCGCAGCAATTGGCCGCCGATAGCCATTCTGCACTATCACTCCGGTCTGTCGTTTGTCTCTCCCACTGTCGTTTGTCCCGTTACGACGCTCCGGGCGGCGCGCGGCGCGGCGCCCACGCATGGCTCATTGATTTTTACTCGGCCACCGATATGTCGTGGAAGAAAATATTTGCACGTGAGTTTAATTTCCTTCTTTCTGGCTTTTATTCATTAGTATCGCCAGTCCCTCGGACTTTTTAGTAATAGGTTTAACGGAAACTTTACGAGAGCGACAGTTCTAGGTAGTTCTTGTTTCGTAATATTGCTAAATTGAGCTACCATTGTTACGTTAATGTAACTGATTGTATTGGATCAATTTTAACCCTGTTTTGGTTACATTTATAGAAAATATGTTTTTGAAAGTTTTGAAAGGCAAGTTATTTTAAGCCGAACATTAGCTTAAAATATCGCAAGAAATTAAAAATCGGCCAAGTGCGAGTCGGACTCGCGAACGAATGGTTCCATACCATCTACAAAAACGGCATATCGTTTCTGTTGTATAGAAGCCCCAGAATTTTTTATAATATTCGTTGCTATAGTAGCACCATCCGCGAAAATTTCAAGTGTTTAACAATCACGGTTGATGATACAGCCTGGTGACAGACGGACAGACAAACAGATAGCGGAGTTTTAGTAATAGGGTCCCGTTTTACCCTTTAGGTACGGAACCTAATAACCGTCATTATAGGTACCTAAACAATAGTCTATAATACCTTAATAAGTTTTAAGCTAGCATACATGTAACGATTATTGATAAGAAAAATTGTCACTTCGTTTCTTCCTATTTTAATTATGTTTAAAGAACGTAAACAATCTACCACTCAAATGAATCTATCTAATACCTTTACACGAGCAATTCTTCTATATATATATATATAAATAATCGGAATCTCGGAAACAGCTCCGGGGACTTTCATGAAATTTAGTATGTGCGTAGATTCGGAGGCGAAAAATCGACCTAACTAGATTTCATTTTTAGAAAATGTCATTTTATCAATATATATATGTAATAATATCAAATGTTTTCAGGGAATGAAAAATACCATTCGAATAGGACGGTAAATTTCGCGGAAAACAAAATCAAAACAGAAGGCCGCGGTTCGTGTCACGATCATTTACTCACTTATTTTTTTTTTTTTTTCTATACCAGATCATTGCTTTCTTTATCTTTTTATTTCCAAAATACACGATTTACCAAAAAAACAAGCAAAGCTCGGTCCTCCAGGTAATAATGATTTAATTAATTACCGTTCATGAGAAGTCTGGTACGTTATTGTTTTGATTATCGTGGTGAATCAATTATGCCATCAGAATATTAACTGCATAATTGATCCTTTCAAACCTAATAGAAGAGATTAAAATTTTGATAGAGTTCAATAATATATAACAATTCCTCGGTTGGTTTACTAATTTATATACCTTGGATTGATTCTTAATGAATTATGAATATTTGCTATTGAAAGTACATGTTAAATGCGTTTGCCTTCAATAATTTACTGATAAATTACTTAATTGCACGACTTGTTTCTCGAGTTCCTTAACTAGCATAGATTTTTGGTTATCACGTTACTTAAAATATTATGGCAAAATCAGTATTCAACGTGATACAGTTACTTTCTATTTTTTCATTGCTATTTAATATTGATCTATAATGATTGTTTGATTTTTTATTTATTTTACACAAGTGTTTATGTTTTCATTTAAATTATTTAGATTTAGTACAAAATATAAAAACCTCTAATCGTATCGTATTGGTTTATTATTAATATAACTCGGCACAAATGAAGTAGTTATTTTACTTCTTTTTTATACTATTCAATAAAACTTAAACGCTTTACAGCTTTAGGGTCTGACCATTAGTTCCCACAGATTAATTGACGTTAATTAAAAGGAAATCGTAAGGGAGCGCGTTAGTTCCACTTCGATGTTCACATAAACATAACTTGAACACCAATTACGGCACTTTTGAATTCACTTAAACTAAGAAATAGGCTCTGCTATAACTGTTAGTATCGATTTAATATTTATTTTGCAAGTTCGTTATGATGTTATTCAAATTTAATATTCTTTCATGTTTTTAAAATGTCATATAATAAGCATAAGTATTCATGTAAAGTACATAATTTTATATGTTACTTAATATATCAGAAACCATTTACTTTCATTATTTCATCGAAATGAAGTATCATTTTTATTCACGGCGTTGTTTCTGTCTTCCTTCATCATTACATGCTATAAGGAGATTTAAATGAAGAATAAATGCGCTCTTCGTTAATGACGTGTTGCATCGCATTGCTTGCACCGTTCAACGCCATATCCGAAACATCGAATAATTGACAAATTCGTGCGCGAGCCGAGCCGGCGGTAATAGGTCGTTAATAACAAACTTATAAATCAAAGGGGCGCCGCGTTTACAACGTGTTAACCGTCCCACCGGGCTGTAAACGCGTTTCAAGAATACTCTGGCGTTTTATTGTGGCCACGCGTGCCCCCACGCCGGCCCGCCGCCTTATTCAACAACACGAATTATGAACGCAATTGATATTGTTACGTTGTTGCTCTGCGCTCTAGGAGCCGTAATGCGCGATATAAACGATATAACCCCAATGTTTGTTATTCGGCGCCACGCGAAGCTCCCATCGGCTTCGTGGTTGTTGTACGATGGCTATTGAGCTCGGTGGGGCTTAATTTGGGGGACAGTTCCATCTCATCTAATCTCATCATGAACTTAGCTAGACTATGAAACCGGGCTTTGTTCTGGAAAACTTCGAAACTGAATATCGTATCGTTGTCATCTCAGGTGAAAATCTAAGAAGCAAATCTCCTAAGGGAGTGATTGTAAACGTTGTCAATAATCCCTAAACATGGCTAACAATATTAAATAATTCGTATATTATGATTTTGATGTATCTTTCGAGCTTTTCTGCAAATGCAACAAATTTTTGTCTACTAAATATACCTCTCCGTTACTGAAGTTTAGGTTTGTAAGATAAGCTCCTTACTAAGGCCTTGATCTTTCGTGTGGTATAATTCAGGACTTCTAGCGATTCTAGTCAACTCCTTGATATTCCCAAACCAAGAATTTCTTCCCATGGCTAACTTTTTTTGTCACTAACATTCAGGTTAAATATTTGAGTTTAAATAGAATAAACTTCAGTCTTTCAACTGTAACCATGTGTTCATTACTTCCTCAATGTTATTTAAATTACCTATATAGGTTTCGTTCCTTTATCAGTTCACTGAAATCAGACGTTCTAAATATGCCACAAGAGCATATCTTACAACACAAACCACATGAAACGAACATACTTCGCCGTATTCTTTTTATATTTCGTTATAAACTATGCCAAAATTAAACAACCGTAAAAATATTAAAAATCGGAGCAGTTTCTAAATAATGTGCAGCAGATATTCGTTTGACAGGCTTGGTAAAATAATGATAGAGACTAATCTCTTGAAATCGAACGTCTTAATATCTGTCGTAGAATTCTATTTTTGAATTGGCGGCCTAGACAGCTGAAATACATAACAAATGTTTGAATTTTGACGTTACGTCAAAATAAAGAAGACAAATACATGTGTGCGTTATTAAATTTAAACGGTGTCTGAATGTCCCCCCGTATAATACTTGTAAATTTAATATAAATACACTTATCATAATTGCTCTTTTAGTTTTATAGGGATAAATAATGAATATTCGATTTGGTAAAAAAAACAATAAAATAAATCTTATCAGAATTCAATATATTTCCAATATTCGTGTCAAAACATAAGATTTTTCTGAATAGTAAAAAAGTGACAATCACACGAGCGATAAAAAATATAGGCAAATATTTTCGGAATGTACTGTTTACCTAATTATTATGACTTCTCAAAAATTTACAAAAATTATACAAAACTTCCCTTAACAGTTTTTATATAATGATAATATAAAAACTGTAAATAGAAAAGAAATACTTCGTAATAAAATCACATCAAAACAATAGTCATAAAGATAAAAGGAACAATTTTTAAGCGTATGGACAAAAGGAAGAAAAAAAAACATTATTTAACATAATTCTCACACGACTCGCCGAACGTAAAACGCCGTGTGACATGTTTAAGTGTTTCTTACTTTTTTTACTTGCATAAGTTATAAGTTATTTATAGAAGTCTAGCGAGGGCGTCATTCTCGCCTTTAAGCGCATGCACAAATAAAATATCGTGCAGCGAGCAGATATTGATTTGCATTTTTCATATAAACAGATGATTGTTTAAGCTTCTTGTCGGCTTTATATCGCGTACGGTCATATTTTAGCATACACCAACCTTAAATGTTAATGCTATGAACCCAAGACCAAACGACAAGCTGCTAAGTGAATGTGCATTCTGAAGATCGGCCAACTAAAGTAAAGAAAGGAAGAACTCGAGTAAAAAAAGATGATTGCCTCGTGCTTGGGTTGAAGAGGTCATTTCGTTCCAATAGTGCTGGAAGATGGAAGAACAGTTACTGCAGCTAGCTGAACATGCTAACTGTTGTTTGCCTATTTTGGAAAATGTTCGATAGTAGCATCCTCAAAGCAGGATCCTCTTCACCACGATAACGAAAGCGCAATCCACGAAACGAACAATCGAATAATGGACTATGGCAGGTGTCGAGATAATGATTCATCCGCCATATAACTAGTCCCTATTTGGCGCCCTGGGACCGTTATTTAATCCCAAGAATCAAAGATAAACTTCGAGGTATTCGCTTTACGAGCCTTGATGCTGCGGTGAATGCGTTCGAAAATTCCGTTGCGGCGACCCCTAAGGAAGTATGGGCCACTGCTTTCTTCAGTGATTCCATCCAATGCGACGATGTATAGAGAGGAACGGAGAGGAACTTCGAACAACAATAAAACTATTGGAAAGTTTCTACATTGATTCATTGATTGATGATTTTGATCAAACAATTAATTCGTTTGTTCGTAAATTGATAAAACATCAAATATCTTTAAGTACCAATAAGCAAACCCAAAATAGCATTTCAAAAATTATATTGAAAGAACTAAGAATTCTTCAGATTCCTTTTTTCCTTAGCTTATTTTAAAACATACACAAAACTTGGGGCTTTATTTCAAATTGTAATTTCTGAATAACCTTGCCGCGAGGCACTTTTAACCAAGTGTCAAATAAAATACGACAAACGTCCAACTATCAATAACCCGACGATGTTTAAAATTCGTGTCCCGTCGGGGATTTGGCACTTCGACGCGAGTTTAGAATCTGTAATACTTTTTTATGGCCTCTTAGTTTTTTTCGCCTGATTTTAAGATACGTTCCGTTACGTTTATGCATTGAAAATGTATGCGGACATTTTATTAGCAGAAACTCTTCACGAAAGTATTCTATAAACAATGCAGTAGTTTCGTTTCTGGTGCGAGTATTCAAATAGGGGTAATTATTCACTTCTTACCTAGGGCTACCAAAAGTTAAACGCTTCATTACAAAAGACATTGAAAATATGTAATATTTAAATGCAGTTGTAATACAGTATCACAAGAAAATTTGGACCGCGTAGATAATTTTAGGAAACCAAAGGTTCATATCTAAAGGCTTCATATCTAAAGTTCTTATAATTCATGTTTTTCATTGTGGTAAGCTGCAACCGATACTCAGTTTTCTAAAACCGCTAGCTCGCTACCTCCTCACATAATAAAACAGAAGAAACTTCAACCGCATAAGCATATTTTTTCAAAGTATGCCAGTATTTAAGCAGTTTTACTTTTACCAAATCCCCTCACAGACATCTTCTAAAACCAGCGTAAACAGCGTAATAAGAACTTTATCTCTTTTAGCTTATATTTTATATTAAGGAATGAAAAGAAACTAGACCTTTTAGTCCCCATTTGGCAGACAGTGCATTAACCAGTGCACTGTCCAGCAAGTCGCTCGTTTTGAGAACTAGTTTATCATAAATGTTTTATTTAGGACACATTAAATAAATATAAATATTTTACGACAAATTTTTACACAACGTTCTCTAGTCCCAAACTAAGCAACGCATGTACTATAGGTACTAGATAAGTGATAAACATGCTTAAACATACTTTTCTTTTGTAAATAAATACATATTATACATATATAAACACTCAGACTCATGGTGAAGCAGTGAACTGCAGAGCCAGTCGCCTGTTGCGCATAGCAGTAAATTTTTTCCAAAGTATTTAGTCAGTCGAGAGGTATTCTCGACATTGATGCTATTTTGATATTGTATTGAACTCAACATTATCACTTGACATCAGGTGAACCGGCAACTCTCTTGCCACCTTCTCACATTAAAAAAATAATTGTAGTTTCTAACACTTAAAAAAGGTTAATGGTAACGAGACAGATTAAAACAATCTGGTACATCATTAATTTTAAACTCAAAATAAAAGGCAATACTAACCCTAAAATAGTTTCATTTAACCTCTTGAACTCTACCCGACTGCAGTACGTGCTGAATCTCTTCCTACCTAATTCAATTCGCCTTTCTCTTCGATTATATTTTTAAATGCTAGCTGTTTTCTTCCGTGAAAGCCGTCAAAAGTGATCACGTCTATCTTAATTTTTCAGAGTTAGTTGGCCTTAGAAGCGCCTTTATACAAATATGTCAAGTGTAGTTATTCAAAGGATTTATCTAGTTTAGCTGCTATTTTTCAATGAAACTCGGGGTTTCAAATTATTTTATTGCTAATGTGTAATATACGTTTAAAATTACTTATTATTGGCACTCTTTCATTACAAAAACATTTTTCGAATAACTTTCTACCTACTTCTTATAGGCGATTTTTCTACCTGATATCTTATTTAAATTCTTCAAAAGAAACATAAGGTAGATAGAGAGAGAACGGGGTCTCTATTACCAAGATTAGACAGATTAGACTGCCATTAGTAGTCAAAACAGAATAAATGGCTCATTCCAATCTTACTAACTTTTCAATTCCAACCTTACGCAAGTTTGCAGTAAGCTTTAATAAAACATTCACCAATCGATTCATATACCGCTCGTAACATCACTTGAGTTCGACAATTATTCAAACTAACATTGGTGGCGAGACATATACCTTAATTCTCAACAGAAACCCTCAACTTTGTTTATGTAAATAACAAGATTTTCAGTTGTAGCTAAATATTACTGTTTCTTTTGAAACGCAAATTATTTTTAAATTGAAAACGTGAAATATATTAGGTTTGTCAATAGCGACGCTCTTTGCGAAGTACATCGCGAAATGACTCCCCGGGGCGCCGCCGCCGACTGTCCCACATCCTGAAGCCTAGACGCCTCAATGAGCTGCCTCTATAGCACACGGCTCTCAAACTCAAAGGCGAAGAGCCAGTCAATTGAGGCCGAGGACCTTCGGGGATAAAGTAATATCGGACGGGCAACAGATTCTTCTAGACGTGGATGTACTATCATAACGTTTAACTAACCACAGTTGAGCAGGGAGTTTGTAATTATAAAGTTTGCTGATATATCTTGAACACAACGCGCCATAGAAATAACAGAGAAAGACAAAAGTCAACGCTACATTTGAATTTCAGATGAATTTTACCTCGCAGATTATCTATTTATCCCGTTGCAGTTTAACGACCTTTTAAGTTTAATAGCCACCAGCGTGAAACCCGTGTTTGATCTCAATTACATCAATGAATTCTAGATTGCACTTCAAAGTGCGGTCATATAAAAAATTTAAATAACAAATCGAACTATATAATCTTAATATTTTTAATGGCCAAAAAACATTTTTTTCGTTTCATAGTGACTCAACTTTTAAACGATACTATTTTCACTACGACAAAAACTCTATTTTTTTATTTCTATTATTAGGATAGCTCAGTCGGTACACTCGTAT